CTACCTTGTGTCACTCTACCAGTAGCACACACTACCTGTCACTGTGTCACTCTACCAGTAGCACACACTACCTTGTGTCACTCTACCAGTAGCACACACTACCTTGTGTCACTCTACCAGTAGCACACACTACCTTGTGTCACTCTACCAGTAGCACACACTACCTTGTGTCACTCTACCAGTAGCACACACTGCCTTGTGTCACTCTACCAGTAGCACACACTACCTTGTGTCACTCTACCAGTAGCACACACTACCTTGTGTCACTCTACCAGTAGCACACACTACCTTGTGTCACTCTACCAGTAGCACACACTACCTTGTGTCACTCTACCAGTAGCACACACTACCTTGTGTCACTCTACCAGTAGCACACACTACCTTGTGTCACTCTACCAGTAGCACACACTACCTTGTGTCACTCTACCAGTAGCACACACTACCTTGTGTCACTCTACCAGTAGCACACACTGCTGCCTTGTGTCACTCTACCAGTAGCACACACTACCTTGTGTCACTCTACCAGTAGCACACACTACCTTGTGTCACTCTACCTTGTGTCACTCTACCAGTAGCACACACTACCTTGTGTCCTTGTGTCACTCTACCAGTAGCACACACTACCTTGTGTCACTCTACCAGTAGCACACACTACCTTGTGTCACTTGTGTCACTCTACCAGTAGCACACACTACCTTGTGTCACTCTACCAGTAGCACACACTGCACACACTGCCTTGTGTCACTCTACCAGTAGCACACACTACCTTGTGTCACTCTACCAGTAGCACACACTACCTTGTGTCACTCTACCAGTAGCACACACTACCTTGTGTCACTCTACCAGTAGCACACACTACCTTGTGTCACTCTACCAGTAGCACACACTACCTTGTGTCACTCTACCAGTAGCACACACTACCTTGTGTCACTCTACCAGTAGCACACACTACCTTGTGTCACTCTACCAGTAGCACACACTACCTTGTGTCACTCTACCAGTAGCACACACTACCTTGTGTCACTCTACCAGTAGCACACACTACCTTGTGTCACTCTACCAGTAGCACACACTACCTTGTGTCACTCTACCAGTAGCACACACTGTTGCCTTGTGTCACTCTACCAGTAGCACACACTACCTTGTGTCACTCTACCAGTAGCACACACTACCTTGTGTCACTCTACCAGTAGCACACACTACCTTGTGTCACTCTACCAGTAGCACACACTACCTTGTGTCACTCTACCAGTAGCACACACTACCTTGTGTCACTCTACCAGTAGCACACACTACCTTGTGTCACTCTACCAGTAGCACACACTACCTTGTGTCACTCTACCAGTAGCACACACTACCTTGTGTCACTCTACCAGTAGCACACACTACCTTGTGTCACTCTACCAGTAGCACACACTACCTTGTGTCACTCTACCAGTAGCACACACTACCTTGTGTCACTCTACCAGTAGCACACACTGCCTTGTGTCACTCTACCAGTAGCACACACTACCTTGTGTCACTCTACCAGTAGCACACACTACCTTGTGTCACTCTACCAGTAGCACACACTACCTTGTGTCACTCTACCAGTAGCACTCACTACCATGTGTCACTCTACCAGTAGCACACACTGCCTTGTGTCACTCTACCAGTTGCACACACTACCTTGTGTCACTCTACCAGTAGCACACACTACCTTGTGTCACTCTACCAGTAGCACACACTGCCTTGTGTCACTCTACCAGTAGCACACACTACCTTGTGTCACTCTACCAGTAGCACACACTACCTTGTGTCACTCTACCAGTAGCACCTACCATGTGTCACTCTACCAGTAGCACACACTGCCTTGTGTCACTCTACCAGTAGCACACACTACCTTGTGTCACTCTACCAGTAGCACACACTACCTTGTGTCACTCTACCAGTAGCACACACTACCTTGTGTCACTCTACCAGTAGCACTCACTACCATGTGTCACTCTACCAGTAGCACACACTGCCTTGTGTCACTCTACCAGTAGCACACACTGCTGCCTTGTGTCACTCTACCAGTAGCACACACTACCTTGTGTCACTCTACCAGTAGCACACACTACCTTGTGTCACTCTACCAGTAGCACACACTACCTTGTGTCACTCTACCAGTAGCAGCCAGGAGTAACTCTCTCTCAACATGTATCACCCACCAGTCACTCTCTCACTCTACAGGTAGCACTCGAACGTAACTCTATACCAGTAACACTCCCAACCAGTGGCATTCCCCTTCACGTATTTTTGGACATTCCTCGTGCTGCAAAATTCCACCTTGGTCTTCAATTTGCAAGACCGCCCGGGCTCCACCCTGACGTTGAGGATTCCAGAGTAAAGCCGACACGCTTCAGTAATTGGAGACCTTGTTACTGCTGCTCTTTTGTCAGGGCTGCTGGACCTGTTGAAGGCTCTCCTGCTCCTTCAATAACAGTCATCCAATCATATATTTATTTCTGTTCCTCACACTTCCTTATTTATCTTCATTCTTGCTGACTCTCATCTCAAAATAGCTGGGACTTGTCGATGGGACTTGACGCTGGGACTTATTACTGGGACTTGTTGCTGGGACATGTTGCTGGGACTTGTTGTTGGGACTTGTCGCTGGGACTGCCTTGCTGGGACTCTGCACTGGGACGACATGACTGGGGCTTGTCTCTGGGACGGCCTAGCTGGGACTTGTCGCTGGGACAACCTGGCTGGGACTTGTTGCGGGACTTGTCGCTGGGACGAAATGATTAGGACTTGTCGCTGGGACGACCTGGCTGGGACTCTGCGCTGGGACGACATGACTGGGACTTGTCGCTGGGATTCATCGCTGGGACTCATCGCTGGGAGTCGTCACTTAGACGACCTGGCTGGGACTTGTCGCTGAGACGACATGGCTGGGACTTGTTGCTGGGACTCATCGCTAGGACTTGTCACTGGAACGACATGACTAGGACTTGTCGCTGGGACGACATGACTGGGACTTGTCGCTGGGACGACATGACTGGGACTTGTCGCTGGAACGACATTGCTGGGACTTGTTGCTGGGAAGACATGCCTAGAACGTGTCGCTGAGACGACATGACTGGGACTTGTCGCTGGGAAGACATGGCTGGGACTTGTCGCTGAGACTACATGGCTGGGACTTGTCGCTGAGAAGACATAGCTAGGACTTGTCGCTAGGACTCGTCGCTGGGACTCGTCGCTGAGACGACATGGCTGACACTCGTCGCTGGGACAGCATGGCTGGGACTTGTTGTTGGGACGACATAGCTGGGACTTGTCGCTGGCACTCTTCGCTGGGACGACATGGCTGGGACTCGTCGCTGGGACGACATGGCTGGGACTTGTCGCTGGGACAACCTGGCTGGGGCTTGTTGCGGGACTTGTCGCTGGGACGAAATGATTAGGACTTGTTGCTGGGACGACCTGGCTGGGACTCTGCGCTGGGACGACATGACTGGGACTTGTCGCTGGGATTCATCGATGGGACTCATCGCTGGGAGTCGTCACTTAGACGACATGGCTGGGACTTGTCGCTGAGACGACATGGCTGGGACTTGTTGCTGGGACTCATCGCTAGGACTTGTCACTGGAACGACATGACTAGGACTTGTCGCTGGGACGACATGACTGGGACTTGTCGCTGGGACAACATGACTGGGACTTGTCGCTGGAACGACATTGCTGGGACTTGTCGCTGGGAAGATATGCCTAGAACTTGTCGCTGAGACGACATGACTGGGACTTGTCGCTGGGAAGACATGGCTGGGACTTGTCGCTGAGACTACATGGCTGGGACTTGTCGCTGGGACAGCATGGTTGGGACTTGTCGCTGGGAAGACATGGCAGGGACTCATCACTGGGACAGAATGGCAGGTACTTGTCGCTGGGACAGCATGGCTGGTACTTGTCGCTGGGACAACATGGCTGGGACTTGTCGCTGGGAAAACATGGCAGGGATTGTCTCTAGGACTACATGGCTAGTACATGTCGCTGGGACAGCATGACTGGGACTTGTCACTGGGACAACATAGCTGGGAATTGTCGCTGGGACGACATGGCTGAGATTTGTTGCTAGGACGACATGGCTGGGACTCGTCGCTGGGACGACATGGCTGGAACTCGTCGCTGGGACGACATGACTGGGACTCGTCGCTGGGACGACATGACTGGGACTCGTCGCAGGGACGATATGGCTGGGACTCGTCGCTGGGATGATATAGCTTGGACTCGTTGCTGGGACAATATGGCTGGTACTCGTCGCTGGGACACCATAGCTGAGACCTGTAGCTGGGACAACATGACCGAGATTTGTCGCTGGGACGATATGGCTGGGACTCGTCGCTGGGACGACATGGCTGCGACTCGTCACTGGGACGACATGGCTGGGACTCGTCGCTGGGACAGAATCGCTAGGACATGTCGCTGGGACACCATGGCTGAGATTTGTCGCTGGGCCAACATGACCGAGACTTGTTCCTGGGACGACATGACTGAGACTTGTCGCTGGAACGACATGACTGGGACTCGTCGCAGGGACGACATGGAAGGGGGAGGGGGGTGGTAGGGTAATGATTCAGTTATATAGACATATACTAGTTTCTAAGTAAGAATTCTACTTAAACATATACAGCCTAAATATCTGTTTATTCTTGGTATGAACTCTGAAAAATTTGAATTTCGCCCATAAGATCTAACAAATTTGTATGACATTATTTGCACCATAAGAACTTTTAACAAACTTCTAAAATATCAGAAATTATTTTTCTCATAAGAATTCCTTAATTCCAAATCTGTGACTGCCCAAATTCACCTGAAAACCCTGACTATCAATGGGCCCTTTTTCCCAGAAAAAAAGGGCCCATTGATAGTCATCCCTACTACTGACGACATGGCTGGGACTCGTCGCTTGGACGAGATCACTGGGACGACATGACTGGGACTCATCGCTGAGACAACATGACTGGGACTCGTCGCTAGGCCGAAATGACTGGGATTCGTCGCTGGGACTCGTAGGTGGGACGACATGCCTGGGACTCGTCGCTGGGACGACATGCCTGGTACTCGTCGCTGGGACAACATGGCTGGGACTCGTCGCTAGGCCGAAATGACTGGGATTCGTCGCTGGGACGGCATGACTGAGACTCGTCGCTGGGACGACATGACGGGGACTTGTCGGTGGGACGACATGGTTGGAACTCGTCGCTGGGACGACATGGTTGGAACTCGTCGCTGGGACGACATGACTGGGACTCGTCGCTGGGAAGACATGACTGGAACTTGTCGCTGGGACGACATGACTGGGACTGGTCGCTGGGACGACATGACGGGGACTCGTCGCTGGGATGACATGACTGGGACTGGTCGCTGGGAAGACATGATTGGGACACGTCGCTGGGACAACATGGCTGGGGCTCGTCGCTGAGATGACATGACTGGGACTCATCACTGGACGACATGACTGGGACTCGTCACTGGGAAGACATGTCTGGAACTCGTCGCTGGGAAGACATGACTGGGACTTGTCGCTGGGACGACATAACTGGGACTCGTCGGTGGGAAGACATGAATGGAACTCATCGCTGGGACGACATGACTGGGACTCGTCGCTGGGAAGAAATGACTGGAACTTGTCGCTGGGACGACATGACTGGGACTCGTCGCTGAGACGACATGACTCGGATTCGTTGCTGGGACGACATGACTGGGACTCGTCGCTGGGACGACATGACTGGGACACATCGTTGGGATTCGTCGCTGGGACTCGGAGCTGGGACGACATGACTGAGACTCGTCGCTGGGACGACATAACGGGGACTCGTCGCTGGGACGACATGGTTGGAACTCGTCGCTGGAACGACATGACTGGGACTGGTCGCTGGGACGACATGATTGGGACTCGTCGCTGGGACGACATGACTAGGACTCGTCGCTGGAACGACATGTCTGGGACTGGTCGCTGGGACGACATGGTTGGGACTGGTCGCTGGGACGACACGACTGGGACTGGTCGCTGGGAAGACATGATTGGGACTCGTCGCTGAGACAACATGGCTGGGGCTGGTCGCTGAGACGACATGAATGGGACTCATCACTGGACGACATGACTGGGACTCGTCGCTGGGAAGACATGTCTGGGACTCGTCGCTGGGACGACATGGCTAGAACTCGTCGCTGGGACGACATGACTGGGGACTCGTCGCTGGGACGATATGACTGGGACTCGTCGCTGGGACGACATGGCTGGGGACTCGTCGCTGGGACGACATGACTGGGACTCGTCGCTGGGACGATATGACTGGGACTCGTCGCTGGGACGACATGGCTGGGACTCGTCGCTGGGACGATATGACTGGGACTCGTCGCTGGGACGATATGACTGGGACTCGTCGCTGGGACGACATGGCTGGGGACTCGTCGCTGGGACGACATGACTGGGACTCGTCGCTGGGACGATATGACTGGGACTCGTCGCTGGGACGATATGACTGGGACTCGTCGCTGGGACGACATGGCTGGGACTCGTCGCTGGGACGATATGACTGGGACTCGTCGCTGGGACGATATGACTGGGACTCGTCGCTGGGACGACATGGCTGGGGACTCGTCGCTGGGACGACATGACTGGGACTCGTCGCTGGGACGATATGACTGGGACTCGTCGCTGGGACGATATGACTGGGACTCGTCGCTGGGACGACATGGCTGGAAGTCGTCGCAGGAAACAGAGAGGAAGTTTTCTGGAGAGAAGTGAACACGTTGATGACTCCAACATACCATTCACCCTCGCTCCTTCCTTTTATCTCTCCACCCATCACTGGTCTTATCTCTACCTCACCAGACCCACCCCATGTTTCCCCCCCCCTCTCTCTCTCTCTCTCTGTCTCTCTCTCTCTCTCTCTCTCTCTCTCCTCTCTCTCTCTCTCTCTCTCTCTCTCTCTCTCTCTCTCTCTCTCCCTCTCTCTCTCTCTCTCTCTCTCTCTCTCTCTCTCTCTCTCTCTCTCTCTCTCTCTCTCTCTCTCTCTCTCTCACTCTCTCTCTCTCTCTTTTTCCCAAGAAGAAGAAGAAGAAAGAAAAGAAAGAGGCAGTATATCCAGCATCAGGATTCCTTCCCTCTAGTACCTAAAATGTTTGAGAGCCTGAGGATTTATTGTGGATGGAAGAAGAAAATAAGGATTTGTTTACCCAAGAAAGTCCCATTTTATGCGATTAATTTGGTAGATGGCCTGAGATATGTGACAATCTCCACACTCAACTTTTCCTTCGTCTTATGATAAATGTATATATATATATTATATATAAATATATAATATATATTATATATATTATGTATTTATATATATATATATATTATATATATATATATATATATATATATATATATATATATATATATATATATATATATATATATATATATATATATATATATATATATATATATATATATATATATATATATATATATATATATATATATTATTAAATATGACCGAAAAAGTAAGATTAATAATTCTAACACGAATTTTCTCAATCTTTCGTACATTACGCTTCACTGTTGGAGGTAAATCAAAAATCACTTCTCCAAAATTCATTTTTATTTCTAGTCTGACGCGACACGGGCGCGTTTCGTAAAACTTATTACATTTTCAAAGACTTCACAAATACACAACTGATTAGAACTTACGTCTCTCTGATATTATATCTACATTTGAGTGAGGTGGGAAGGATGATGTGGCATTAACACAAGACAGAACAGGGGATATTAATAAGGTATTAAAAGTATCAACACAAGACAGAACACGAAACATTGGATATTGAATAGAAGTGTTTGTAGAAAGCCTATTGGTCCATATTTCTTGATGCTTCTATATTGGAGCGGAGTCTTGAGGTGGGTAGAATATAGTTGTGCAATAATTGGCTGTTGATTGCTGGTGTTGACTTCTTGATGTGTAGTGCCTCGCAAACGTCAAGCCGCCTGCTATCATAAGAAGAAGAACATAAGAACATAAGAACAAAGGTAACTGCAGAAGGCCTATTGGCCCATACGAGGCAGCTCCTATTCTATAACCACCCAATCCCACTCATATACTTGTCCAACCCGTGCTTGAAACAATCGAGGGACCCCACCTCCACAATGTTACGCGACAATTGGTTCCACAAATCAACAACCCTGTTACTGAACCAGTATTTACCCAAGTCTTTCCTAAATCTAAACTTATCCAATTTATATCCATTGTTTCGTGTTCTGTCCTGTGTTGATACTTTTAATACCCTATTGATATCCCCCCGGTTATGTCCATTCATCCACTTGTAAACCTCTATCATGTCACCCCTAACTCTTCGCCTTTCCAGTGAATGCAACTTAAGCTTGTTAATCTTTCTTCATATGAAAGATTTCTAATTTGGGGAATTAACTTAGTCATCCTACGCTGGACACGTTCAAGTGAATTTATATCCATTCTATAATATGGTGACCAAAACTGAACTGCATAATCTAAATGGGGCCTAACTAGAGCAAGATATAGCTTGAGAACCACACCAGGTGTCTTGTTACTAACGCTGCGATTAATAAATCCAAGTGTCCGATTTGCCTTATTACGAACATTTATGCATTGATCCTTTTGTTTTAAATTCTGACTAATCATAACTCCCAGATCCCTTTCGCAATCCGACTTCGCAATCACAACACCATCTAGCTCGTATCTTGTAACTCTATCATCATTACCTAACCTCAGAACTTTACATTTATCAGCATTAAACTGCATCTGCCAATCCTTTGACCATTTCAAAACCCTATCTAGATCAACTTGAAGTGATAGTGAGTCCTCCTCCGAATTAATTTCCCTACCGATTTTCGTATCATCGGCAAATTTGCAAATGTTGCTACTCAAACCTGAATCTAAATCATTTATATATATTATAAACAACAGAGGTCCCAGGACAGAGCCTTGAGGCACTCCACTTACAACATTTTCCCACTCTGACTTGATTCCATTTATACTAACTCTCTGTTTCCTTTGGTATAGCCATGCCCTAATCCAGCTTAATATAGCACCCCCAATACCATGAGACTCTATTTTTTTAATCAGTCTTTCATGTGGCACTGTATCAAAAGCTTTGCTAAAGTCAAGGTATAAGAACATAAGAACATAAGAACATAAGAACAAAGGTAACTGCAGAAGGCCTATTGGCCCATACGAGGCAGCTCCTATTCTATAACCACCCAATCCCACTCATATACTTGTCCAACCCGTGCTTGAAACAATCGAGGGACCCCACCTCCACAATGTTACGCGGCAATTGGTTCCACAAATCAACAACCCTGTTACTGAACCAGTATTTACCCAAGTCTTTCCTAAATCTAAACTTATCCAATTTATATCCATTGTTTCGTGTTCTGTCCTGTGTTGATACTTTTAATACCCTATTAATATCCCCCCGGTTATGTCCATTCATCCACTTGTAAACCTCTATCATGTCACCCCTAACTCTTCGCCTTTCCAGTGAATGCAACTTAAGCTTTGTTAATCTTTCTTCATATGAAAGATTTCTAATTTGGGGAATTAACTTAGTCATCCTACGCTGGACACGTTCAAGTGAATTTATATCCATTCTATAATATGGCGACCAAAACTGAACTGCATAATCTAAATGGGGCCTAACTAGAGCAAGATATAGCTTGAGAACCACACCAGGTGTCTTGTTACTAACGCTGCGATTAATAAATCCAAGTGTCCGATTTGCCTTATTACGAACATTTATGCATTGATCCTTTTGTTTTAAATTCTTACTAATCATAACTCCCAGATCCCTTTCGCAATCCGACTTCGCAATCACAACACCATCTAGCTCGTATCTTGTAACTCTATCATCATTACCTAACCTCAGAACTTTACATTTATCAGCATTAAACTGCATCTGCCAATCCTTTGACCATTTCAAAACCCTATCTAGATCAACTTGAAGTGATAGTGAGTCCTCCTCCGAATTAATTTCCCTACCGATTTTCGTATCATCGGCAAATTTGCAAATGTTGCTACTCAAACCTGAATCTAAATCATTTATATATATTATAAACAACAGAGGTCCCAGGACAGAGCCTTGAGGCACTCCACTTACAACATTTTCCCACTCTGACTTGATTCCATTTATACTAACTCTCTGTTTCCTTTGGTATAGCCATGCCCTAATCCAGCTTAATATAGCACCCCCAATACCATGAGACTCTATTTTTTTAATCAGTCTTTCATGTGGCACTGTATCAAAAGCTTTGCTAAAGTCAAGGTATACAACATCGCAATCCTTACCACTATCAACTGCCTCAACAATGCTAGAATAAAAAGATAACAAATTTGTTAAACATGAACGGCCATTTATAAAACCATGTTGCGACTCAATTATTAATTTATGTTTTTCAAGATGAAGACGAATTTTATTTGCTATTATAGATTCGAGT